TATCTCACAGCCTCTGAAGAAACTCGGACCTCTCCTGCCCAAAATTATGTTTGACACTTTTTTTCCCTTCCAATCGATGTCCGGGAAGAATATGTTCCAGAAATGCAGGAAATTAGTTTGAGGTTCTGTTGATTGTGAGCGAGTGAAAGATTAACCGTTGTCTGCCAATTGCTGGTGTAGATGACGGTGGAGTTTTTTCATGCTACTCGTCAAGGAATGGTGCAGGAAATCATTCCGAAGATAGAATGTCAATATGGAGATTGCACTTTTCTCTCAACAAACCATTTTTGGGGTTCTCCAAACGTGCAATTCGTAATTTCCCACATCTTTTGTAATATTTTGACTGTATATATTTGGACAGGGTTAAAGGAAATTGTAGCTAATGCCATTTCAATTTTTTCCCGCTAAGGAAATGGAATTGAGCACTTCACGTTTCGATTATGTAGTTTCGGCAACATTCATTTTCATTCTCCAAATAAGGAACGTTAAGAATTGTGTTTGTCAATACTCTCGTGATCCGAGAGGAATTATTGGTTATCGACGAAAGACACGAGAGTTCCTTCTACCATTGCCTCTCTGATGCTATCTGGAGATCGTTCGTGAATAAAAGCCCTTTCACTACACACATTATAAGTTACACTTCGGAAATGTACGTGTATTTTTACAGTGGACATTTTTACCTCGAGGGAAGTCATGTGACCTTGTGGATAAAACGTTCAAACGGCCGACGAACTCCTGAGTTCAATTCTCATCCCTGGAGAAAGAGGAGCACATTCTTGTACATGATCGTAAATGTGATGTAAATAGCTTTTATTAAAAACCCGTAACAAGGAATCAAGGAATACTATATGCTACGTTCGGACAAATCTAAACCTGAACTATATTTTATTAAATTTAAAACTAATGATACTTCAAGTCTCTTGTCACAGACATATGTGTCCATTACATTCAGAGTTACATTGTACATCCCGTCTCAATGATGCAGAGCTAGCGCATCAGAGCGATCACCTCCTCCCTAGTATCTAGTAATTGCCAGATAATATCCCTGTAGTGATATAATACCATTTACTGCTAACCGTCAGCAACTGTCTCGATCCCGAGAGAAGAAGCCAGAACGTCATTATGTCCATATGTTAGTGTTGAGTCTCTAGTGCCACCACCTTCTCGTACCGTGCACAGCCTCGCCATTCCTTCCACCACCGATTCAAGGTTTTAAAGACGTCAAGGTATATTTAACTCAAAAACATTCCGTTTCCATGGAAATGGCGATCCAGCTGCCTGGCGATTTGGCTAATAGCTAATGATGTTACGCACAGGCCAAAGATTCATTAGCATCACTCTTTTTGCTAGTGATATTTGTTTGTAAAGTCCTCTTCCCTGGAAGCCACCCTTGTCATTACGTGTTGTAAAAATAAAAGTCATTAGACTATCGATTTAAGAGCACGACGGAAGACATCGTGAATGGAGATCAGTTATACCTTAAGACAAGGACATTTTTGTGGACGCTGCTTCGGCTTTGGAAAGACCAAATTAGATGTATCACACAGTGGTATGACCGGAACACAAACGACAGGGGGAGCTGTAAAGAGGTGGAGAGCCTGAAATTGTGACAAGGTCGTGCATTGAAGTCCGTATTTAAAGATTACAAGGCTGGGATAATAAAATAGGATGTTATGAAACAAAAATGTTTATAAAATGCCAGTCCATCTCGGGGAAATCATTACTAGTGTCTAGTTGACACTTCCACATGGAAAGGAAAATTTAAATTCATATAATGAAATATTTGAATTACAATACAACTCGTTTTTGGTGTAAAAGCATTGGTATGCCGTTGATATAGGCTTCAATGACTCAGCATTATGGTAAATGTAAATAGAGGCACGTAACACCATTTACATAATCATAAGATATGGCTACTAAACGTTCATTCTATGATTCACAATATATCACCATCAGATACGGATGACAGCAGGTGTTTGCGAAAAGCATCAAAACACATTATTCACCATCAAATGCTGATGACACCAAGTGTCCATCTTCAGCAAATCAGCTTCTAAATGCCACTTAAAGACATTTTATTCACACAGTGCGTGATGGGTCCTCTGGGTAGAACAGGATCATGAGCACATCACTATTCTCCAGCACCTGGTGCCATCCATCCATAGTCGCCACCACCACATTGCCTTTCATTTATACTTATGAGAAAAAGATCCTTACGTTAACGTTAGGGTATGCAGCCTGAATGTGTTCCACTGACTACTTTGGGACGATGCCCGGAAGATGAGAAGCCCGTTCCCTATTGAATATTCTGTGGAAAAGCTCAGCATTGAACGTTACACGTGCACTGAGTAATCGTGTGTTCACATATTACTTCCATAACATAAGGACAACTTCAGAGGTCTAGTACATACAGTGATTGCTTGGGGACAGGAACTTCAGGGGTTCGATCCCGGCCAAGTAATTCCCCGTTTCACTTCACATTAATACAAGGTGTAAAGCTACGTTTATTTACAATACAAGAACATTAACCAGAGAACTTCAGTTAACCTAAAATCACATATACTCTATATATTCACTGAAGAATTAAAACACTGCAGCTGATGACGTCACGCACAGTCATATGATATTGTTTTTTAATAACCGTTTTCACATTTCTGACGACTTATGTTGTCATCTAATATATATTGTCTTCGGTACCTCCACATATCGATTTGATTATGACAAAGCTATATCCAAGTTAAACGTCAATGTTATGACACACTCGGCGGCAGTTTATGCCAGGTCAGCAAAATAATTCCGCATCCTCTCAGAAACAATGGGACTACAGGGAGCTCAGGAGGGCGTCTAAAATATACATAGATACAACCTGCCACAATGGGTTTTTCGCATGACTACAAGATGGACAGTTAAAGGGAGAGTTTGCTCCAACGTCAGTGCCCATTCCGCATCTTCTTCTAAACGTTGGAATCATGTTTAAAACTGAGACTTTAGGATGCTCGCTGATTCTTGTTCTGATACGCATTCCACAAATAAACGAGGAGCCAAGCAAAGAGTTTCAGGGACTAGAATTCATTATCTGAGGCTGAAAACTAGCACGAAAGTCTTTTTCCTTGAAGTACAGGTTTCAACCGATATAAGCACCTCAAGAAGCTAGTCATTTTCGAAAGCACATAAAATGTGTGTTACTAAAATATTCTCTTTATGCAGATTTTTTCTGGAAACCTTTATAATGCTTGACGAGATATGTCATACCGTTTACGATCAGTGATCAGAATAACTGTCATGTTGAATCACAATTATCAGAATTTGGGAAAGGTATATAGATAATTACAAAGTATTGCTGATACATCTCGGAGTATGTAAATCATTATTCTTTGGTCATTATATATGTATACTGCCATATAGCATGGACATACCTGCAATAAGTGTCATGCCGATTTCAAGGTCATGAGCCAGGATACTTTAGGAATATTGCTAAAAGCGGTGTAAAACCATACTCATTCGCAACGTTGTCCTAAATGATACTACACACGAGATCATTACCTTCATCTACACTGACATACATCATATCACACTGTGCAATATAATTTTGAAATATTGCATGTTTAGCCTTGTATTTCGTTGACCGAGAAGCCATAGTTTCTGCAGGACAATGCTCTATATTCAACTCCCCTCTTCCTGATCAATAGACATGTTGCAACTTCGACAAACTTTTGTGCTTACTATACATGAAAACCTTTCTTAACAATCGACCATGTTGAGAACTTGAATTGAAACGTTTCTTCAATTAGAAATCGATTCATATGTCCCTATTGAGAACATATTGTAAACACCGAGATCGATATTTCTTAAATGCACATATTGTTGGCCTTGATTGCCAAGCAGATGGTATGGTCGTTCATTATAGAAAACATCTAATTTGCCGTGCAACCCACTGTGATAACTCAAACAGCCGGTAGTAACATCATGTTTAACCACTCGAGTCATATACAACCACTTAAGTAATTCGTATCTCTATGGCCAGATATGTACAACAATTTGATCGAATTTACGACACACTATGGGCACTTCAGCATACATATAGTCGACAGGCAGCTGACACTTGTGATATAGGTTGTTGTCGATTTCAGAACTATGATGATCATTTCTACGATATCAGGTTTGTGTGCTCAGGACGTATGTTGTTAATTGCACATTTAACACTGTCCAGAATAGATGAGATAACCGTAGCACATTTCTGCAGTAGGCCATTATGTACATACATACATATATATGAAGATGAATTTGGTAACGTATACAGTTTATGTAAAAAGCGATTGGTTTTGGTCGTTATACTTTGAACAATATGTATTCTCCCCGTTTCACACCTTACTCTTATAGCCCAAGAAAATAAGAATATTTGTTAGCATCAAATATGAATTAATATATATTTCTGTTTGACAGTTCACTGTTCCTTAAATATTCATAAGCACGTGCTTCGTATATCTTTTATGTCAAATTTAGATATGTTAATGTTATGTTATCCGACGTATAGTGCATTTGTCTAAAGATCTGGTAACCGACTGGTGCTGATGAGAGTGAACCGCTATTCCTGGCAATGAAAAACATCTTTCAGCATTCTCCGTGCATTACTGTTGCATCAACAGATATGTGTGACAAGTCAATATAATTCTAATCTGGCGTGTTTGTTCCTTGACACCCCTTTCTGTAGGTGTTGATATCGAGTCAGTCAGCTGCCACTTGACACGTCAGATGAATGATTGACATTTAATGTGGGGGAAATTTCAATAAATGGCGACATATTTGATTTCCCAGAAGCAAGGACGCCAAAACACCCAGCGCTCAATATGCTGACATCTCAAACGACAATTTAACCATAGTGGTTCATGATAGGAACACACCTGGAGGCAGAAGGTGTTTTACCGAGATGCAATCTCAGCTTCATCACCTGGAATGTGCACAAGATGAACAAAGTTTCTTTAAAATCTACCAAACCCTACCTCACTGTCTTGACTTGCTTGTTTCTGCATAGCGTTCTTTGCTGTCGTTGAGCCGATGTGCTGGTTAATCATAACGTCCTTGTTGTCACTGGCACCGTCTCCACCAGCTTGGTATACAACTCCGTTAGCGCACAGATGTGCTAGCTAGACTAGACCGGAAGTCACGTTACACGGAGACAAGGCTCAATGCGCATAAGATCACCATCTGAATGTTTGCGGGATACTCTCACGGGATCTGTCCCCAAATTCGCTCAGAGCTCCCACAGTTAATTTGATCCGAATCCGGATTAGATTCAGGTAATTAGGAGCAAAAGGGTGTTTATCCCTTTCAACACAGTGCAAGCCGCACTAATTCAGTGGGAGCTAAGTGTAGGGCGAGAGGCCTCCTGTCTCCAATGCCGCCTCTGTCACGTTTGTCCATTGACAGACAGCGGTTCTGGCTAAAAATAATCAACGTGTTTGATCTAGTTTCGCGTTCAACTATCATCAGACAACAGGATCATCGTCAATAACCGATGGCTGTTAAGACAAGCGTTGTCTCTGTTAACAGTGCTTTCTGCTGGCGAAACCTCGCGCCAACCTCGCATACCTACAGTCAGTGTGCTTTGAGGAATACCAACAGATTCCCTGCCAATACCATTACCAATTATCTTCATTTAGTTTATTTCCAATTAGTTTCGGGTAATACAATCACATATCACTCTCCAGCCAATTCGCTTCACAGAGGGAGTAATGGGTCGTGCATGATTACTTACCGTTGTTGATTGGTGTAAATGCTGCCTATTCATTAAGACGGCGATACATATAATCCCGAAGTCAGATTTACACCAACAACTGTCAATTGTACATGTGGCGTCTTACACTCGTTATTTCCTCAAAACTAATTTCAAAGATGGAATGTTAAGATTACATATATATATTATGTTCCCTTCATCAAGTATGAATAAATATATGGTTACAATATGGTAAACTATGGTAAAATGCATGAAGTAGATGTTCTTACCGTGATGTTTAAAGGTCAAAATAAATTGAAGTTTGAGCATTTGCGTTTTACTGTTAGCATAAGCACATTTTTCATTAATACATAACATATTACTGCACTACAATGCGGATGATAATTTACATAAGGTTATTCGATTTTTGTAAGAGTTCAGGCACCAAGCTGTTTATGAGGATGTACAGCGTTGTCAATCAGTGAAGTCTTGCTTGAAATGGATACCTGTTCCACACGGCTATTATCTTTAGTACAGTTGACCTGATGTGTAGAGCTGCTACAAGCTGCTTATGGTATAATATCATCAAAACACGTATCCACGCGTAAGAGTGAAGCTTGTTGGTTCAGCCTGCATCTGTCGCATTTTAAGCGGATTACAGTCTACATATTGCAGCCTCGGGTTAACACTGGACTTGGATGGATGCTTGACGAATCATACCTGGGCTTACAATGAATTTGTCATGCTACTTTGAGTTGACACTAAATCTGGCATCATACCATTGGCACACGGGTGCCACCGGCGGGACAGGATGGGACATATGTTATCGCGAATACCTGGTATGTGATAGTAATTCATAAACACATGCTCTCTCATTGTATTATAATGTCAATCAATCGATTATCTACAGACCGCGGTCATACAGCTCTTATATTGATGAGTACGGCAATACCCGTACAAACAAATACACATGATCATAATAATTATAGTCATATAGTCGGAATTGTACAATCAACTCTTATGGACTCTAAGATATGTCTTATGGATGGGAAGGGTTTTGTCTCATATACTGAGTCAAAAAAGAAACTTCACATTCTTTCTTCAGGGCACTATAAAAGAACAAGAGATGGTAAGATGGTTAAATTGTTATTATTTCATTGCTGAGATCTGTGTGATGTATTAGGCTACACCGCCGTTCCAAAACATGGGTATACAGAATGTCAAGTCACAAGAATAAAAATGCGAAATTTCTCAGTTTAATATCGTGTCTGGCCGCCCCGCGCATTCACCACTGCCAAACACCATCTCCTCATCGACTGCCTGATGCTTGTGAACACGTGGTTGGGGATTCTGCACCATTGCTCTTGCAAGGCAGCGCCAAGTTCCTGCAAATTCTGAGGTTGGTTCCTAAGACCACGAAGCCTTCTCCCAAGTGCATCCCAAACGTGCTCTATTGGATTAAGGTCAGGGGACCTCGATGGCCAGTCCATGACGTTGATTCCAGCGTTTTGAAGGAAATTTCGTGTCAACATCGCGGTATGCGGCCGAGCATTATCATGCTGGAACTGTAGACCTGGGCCATGAGCCGCCATGAAAGGAACGAGTTCAGGGGTGAGCACCTGGTCGAGGTAAGCAGCAGCTGTGAGGTTTCCACGGATGACCAGAAGTCGGGAACGGTTGTTCCCACAGAAAGCACCCCACACCATGCAACTTCCGCCCCCGAATCTGTCGACTTCCTGTACACAACATTGGGCATACCGTTCACGACGTCGTCTCCAGACTCTCTGCCTGCCGCCCGCGAATCTGAGGGTAAACCTGGATTCATCGCTAAAGACGACTCGATTCCAGTCTCTCTGGGTCCATCGGAGGTGACGTTGGGCCCACAGCAGACGTTGACGTTGATGAAACGGCGTCAGTATTGGCCCACGATATGGACGTCGAGAATGGAGATTGGCAGCCCGCAACCGATTTCGAATGGTCTGTGAGGACAGTCGACCTCTAAACATTTGTGAAGTTTCTGTTTTGACTCAGTATATATTTACACTGCATTTGTCATGCTGGCTTGTGTTAACCCTGGAACGAGTATCATACGTAGCATACGTTATCACCGAATCTGGCATCATACAATTGGTTTTCACTGTATTTGTCATCGATTGATTGATATCATGAGCTAGGATGACAAAGCATGTGTCATGCTGCCTTGTGTCACTGGCTAAATGCCATAGGTTTACACTGCATCACGCCTTTGGTTTACACTGAATTTGTCATGCTGACTTGGGTTAAGACTGAAACTGACATAATGACTTGAACGGTTCCTGCCTTGAAGTTAACCTGCCACATTTTGAAATTCATTTTTTAAATGATTCCATTAGTTGTACATGCTATGATGTCTTTGTAATACCGTACATTTTCATGTTGTCGACATCATCAATGTGAATGTCAGTCGGTCTCAGCTGACAATAACAACGTCAACAGTTATGTAGCATACAAACAAAAGGTCATAACATCTGTGGCTCTATGTCAGCCCCCAACACCGTCATCAGTGAGTATGATTATAGAGGCAAGCTAATAGCTGGGTGGAAACATCAGCTCCACCTGTAACACGCGGCTATGGATGGGAGTTCTCAAGGCTCTTGTATCATCAGGCTATTGTGTTTAGTCAGTCACCGCCACACAGACGCTCCAAATAACGTGCAGAGTATTGGATACTGAACGACAAGGCAGTCGGGCATTGGTGCAGTCAGTCACCTCCATACAGAAGCTCAACACAGCGTGAAGAGTATGGGATACTGAACGACAAGGCAGTCGGGCATTGGTGCAGTCAGTCACCTCCATACAGAAGCTCAACACAACGTGAAGAGTATGGGATACTGAACAACAAGGCAGTCGACCATTGGTGCAGTCAGTCACCTCCATACAGAAGCTCAACACATTGTGAAGAGTATGGGATACTGAACAACAAGGCAGTCGACCATTGGTGCAGTCAGTCACCTCCATACAGAAGCTCAACACAGCGTGAAGAGTATTGGATACTGAACAACAAGGCAGTCGACCATTGGTGCAGTCAGTCACCTCCATACAGAAGCTCAACACAGCGTGAAGAGTATTGGATACTGAACAACAAGGCAGTCGACCATTGGTGCAGTCAGTCACCTCCATACAGAAGCTCAACACAGCGTGAAGAGTATTGGATACTGAACGACAAGGCAGTCGACCATTGGTGCAGTCAGTCACCTCCATACAGAAGCTCAACACAGCGTGAAGAGTATGGGATACTGAACGACAAGGCAGTCGACCATTGGTACAGTCAGTCACCTCCATACAGAAGCTCAACACAGCGTGAAGAGTATGGGATACTGAACAACAAGGCAGTCGACCATTGGTGCAGTCAGTCACCTCCATACAGAAGCTCAACACAGCGTGAAGAGCGTATGGGATACTGAACAACAAGGCAGTCGACCATTGGTGCAGTCAGTCACCTCCATACAGAAGCTCAACACAGCGTGAAGAGTATGGGATACTGAACGACAAGGAAGTCGACCATTGGTGCAGTCAGTCACCTCCATACAGAAGCTCAACACAGCGTGAAGAGTATGGGATACTGAACGACAAGGCAGTCGGGCATTGGTGCAGTCAGTCACCTCCATACAGAAGCTCCACAGAACGTGAAGAGTATGGGATACTGAACGACAAGGCAGTCGACCATTGGTGCAGTCAGTCACCTCCATACAGAAGCTCAACACAGCGTGAAGAGTATGGGATACTGAACGACAAGGCAGTCGACCATTGGTGCAGTCAGTCACCTCCATACAGAAGCTCAACACAGCGTGAAGAGTATGGGATACTTAACGACAAGGCAGTCGGGCATTGGTGCAGTCAGTCACCTCCATACAGAAGCTCAACACAGCGTGAAGAGTATGGGATACTAAACGACAAGGCAGTCGACCATTGGTGCAGTCAGTCACCTCCATACAGAAGCTCAACACAACGTGAAGAGTATGGGATACTGAACGACAAGGTAGTCGGGCATTGGTGCAGTCAGTCACCTCCATACAGAAGCTCCACAGAACGTGAAAGTATGGGATACTGAACGACAAGGCAGTCGGGCATTGGTGCAGTCAGTCACCTCCATACAGAAGCTCAACACAGCGTGAAGAGTATGGGATACTAAACGACAAGGCAGTCGACCATTGGTGCAGTCAGTCACCTCCATACAGAAGCTCAACACAGCGTGAAGAGTATGGGATACTGAACAACAAGGCAGTCGACCATTGGTGCAGTCAGTCACCTCCATACAGAAGCTCAACACAGCGTGAAGAGTATGGGATACTAAACGACAAGGCAGTCGGGCATAGGTGCAGTCAGTCACCTCCATACAGAAGCTCAACACATTGTGAAGAGTATGGGATACTGAACGACAAGGCAGTCGGGCATAGGTGCAGTCAGTCACCTCCATACAGAAGCTCAACACAGCGTGAAGAGTATTGGATACTGAACGACAAGGCAGTCGGGCATAGGTGCATTCTGTGAGATGTTCCTTGGCATTAAAACAAAATCTTTATTTCTTGTCTTATGTCGCCCCAGTAGTGTTGTGCAATCAAATGACGATGATCTTTAAATAACAGGATTTCGACACTACAGCCCGGTGAT